AATGAATAAATTGACCTGCACTTACCTTTAAGACCCTTTGTGGCTGGTGTGAGGGTGGCAAGAGAGAGGAGGGCCGTTGTGTAGGACGACTTTCACTAACAGGATCACTGCTATCTATTGGCTCAATGGACTCTTTTTCTTTTCCTGCAAGTTTAACAAGGAACCTATCCAGTGGCACTTGCTTTCACCTTCTTTTGACGATTTCACAGAAACGGACATTGCGTTGTCATTAAACAGATTCATTGCTTGCACTGTTACAGCCTTATTCAGGTGGTGCTTTTCTACAAAACTTTGCACTGTTTCCCACATTTTACACATCTCCCTAATCTCATTTGAAGTGAAGGATTCCTCCACTTTTTTCTCCTCCTCCTCCTCTGCAGACGAGATGCAGGTGTAAACTTCTTATAAAATTTTGCAATTTCGGTGCATACCTCGTTTATACTTCTCACTGATTTCCTTCTTTTTTTTTTTAAATTTTTTTTCAACATTTATTTATTTTTTGGGGGACAGAGAGAGACAGAGCATGAACGGGGGAGGGGCAGAGAGAGAGGGAGACACAGAATCCGAAACAGGCTCCAGGCTCTGAGCCATCAGCCCAGAGCCCGACGCGGGGCTCGAACTCACGGACCGCGAGATCGTGACCTGGCTGAAGTCGGACGCTTAACCGACTGCGCCACCCAGGCGCCCCCTCACTGATTTCCTTCTTAACTTCCACAGTCATCATCTCCTTCTTACCGCCGTTCTTTCAACCGCTTTCCACAGGAGGGCCATCGTACACGCTCGCAGGGATGTTGACTGCAGTACATATACTGTGACTGTGTCATATACTGTATTTAATGTAACTTGGTAATAAGGCAGCAGAGGAAAGGGTCTATATCTGCAGGCAGCCTGACCTAGGATGAGGCAAACATTCCTAAACTCATTCTTGGGTGGAAAAGCAGAGGACCATCCATAGGTGCTTTGAAGTGACAAAAAATACACTATTGCCAGTTGTACGCACCTTCCAGCGTTCTGAAATATCACTGATTCCTGCCAAACACTGCGGCCTGAGATCGAGCATCTGAGCATGGGAGACCATCATCACCTACAATCCTGCAATGAGAGAGAGAGAGAGAGTGAAGAACCATTGGCTCAGTTGTGATCATGTGACATTCAGCATCACAAACTACTCATATTGCAAGACGTCACTCATTTATCAAGTTAAAATTTATTAGGAACATTCGCTTATCTTGCAGAACATTTGCAGAACAAGTTACTCACAATCCAAGGTTTACTGTCTATGGGAATCGCCGTATGCTTAACTGATTGGAGCTACACTGTTTATGAGGCTTCCTTCAAGTAATATCTTCTTTCATTAAGACACAAGTGTTTGTAAACATAAGTTTACAAACTTATAAAAATAAGGGAATAAATATAAGGGAAGAGCCATATGCTTAACTAATTGAAACTACCCTGCATTTAAGCGTTTTCACAAGTAGCATCTTCTATCATTAACATAGAAGTATTTTTGAAAGTATTTGTAGAAGCATATTAGAATAGCCGTGTGCTTAACTCATGGAAACAATACTGTGTATAAACCTTCCCTGAAGTAACATCTTCTTTCATTAAAAGAAATATGTATGTAACCTTTTTTTTGTAGACGCATGTACAAAGTGCCTTAAGCTTACCTCCTGAAACTACACTGCGTACAAATAAACCTTTCAAGTAACATTGTCATTAAAATGTAAGCATTGGTAAACTTAAGTGTAGAATGATTTTAAAACGTTCAAAATGAAATAATCATATGAACCAGAAATCCCAGTTCTAGGTATATATCCAAAAAAATAAAAAACAAGGTCTCTAAGAGATGTTTGTATACCCATGTTTGTAGCAGCATTTTTCACAATAGCCAAGTTCCACTGATAGATGAATAAACAAAATATATTATAAACATACAATGGAATATTATTCAGCCTTAAAAAGGAAGGACAATCTAATACATGCTACAACATAGATGAACCTAGAGGATTATGCTCTAAGTGAAACAAGCTGATTACAAAAAAGACAAATACAGTATGATTAACAAACATGAGCTACTTACAATAATCAAATTCATACAGACAGAAAGTGGAAGAGTGGTTGCCATGGCCTAAGCATAGGGAAGAATAGGAAGTTCTTATTCAATGAGTATAGAGTTTCAAAACGGCAAGATGAAAAAGAGTTCCAGAGATGGATGGTGGTGACAGTTTCACAAGAATGTGACTATCACTGAACTGTGTACTTTAAAAAGGTTAAGGTGGTAGGGGTGCCTGGGTGGCTCAATCAGTTAAGAGTCCAACTCTTAATTTCAGCTCAGGTCATGATCTCATGGTTTGTGAGGTCCAGCCGCACGTTGGGTTCTGTACTGACAGTGCATGGGGAATCACTTGGGATTCTCTCTCTCCCTCTCTCTCTGCCCCTCCCGTGCTCATGATAACACACAGATACTCTCTTTCTCTCAAAATAAATAAATAAATTTCAAAAAAATAAAAATGGTTAAGATGGTAAACTTTGTTATGTGTTTTTACCACAATTAAAAAATTTTTAAATCCTAATATTAAAAAAAAAAACTGAAAGAAAAATAGAGAAGGGAAACAGAGTTCCCAGCCAATTACAAGAAATTACCTAGCCCTAATGTTTTTATAAATAAATTTTGTGAAATCTTTAAAAAGCATATAACATACGTTATAAAAATTCTTTGAGTGAAGAAATATAGAAAGCTTCCAAACTTAATTCCATGAAATGAACAAAATCCTAATACCTAAATCTACAGGCAGAGCACACCCATAAAAAAGAAAAGATTATACCAGCCTTACTTATTTAATTCACTTAAACCATCTAAAATGAGCCATCCTTGGGCACCTGGGGGTTCAGCTGGTTAAGCATCTGACAAGATCTTAATTTCAGCTTAGGTCATGGTTGTGAGATTGAGCCCCATGTCATGCTCCGTGCCCAGCATGGAGCCCACTTAAGATTCTCTCTCTCTGCCCCTCTCCTGTTCTCTCCTTTCTCTCTCTCTCTCTCTCTCTCTCTCTCTCTCTCTCTCTCAATAGATAAATAAATAAATAACAAAATAAAAATAAAATAAAATAAAATAAAATAAACCACCCTATTGATAGATTTCAGAAGTAAAATGAAGACTTAAAAATTCAGGACAAGCTTCCTGAGGATGCCTACCATAGTTTTTACCTATAAAAGCAAACTGCATGAAGACTGATGGGCTAAAAGACCAGTGAGGAATTAATTACAAGACTACAAGTAGGAAGACGAGGGAACCGGTGTGCTGTACCACTTTTTCTTCCTGGAGGTAACTGCTGATTCTGTAACAAGTGGCTCAGAGCCTGAGCAATGTTTTTTATAATCTCATCATGCTAGGGACTAGAAATGGGAATTTGGTATTTGCTAAGACTGGAAATTCATAAACACTTGTAGCTGCAACCCCAAGATGAAAGCACATCCTCAGAATGAGAGTGAATTTAGACTGGTTTTAGAAGAAGAAGAAAAAAGCCCAGCTATCAATAATCTAAGTCACTGGAATTGAATGAAGATAATCCTAGATTACTACCACTGCTACAGGACTGCCAGAAGCAAACTTAAATCTTCTCTAGAGAAAGACAGTATCATGGGTAGGGTTGAAATTATTTCTGCAGTTTTTCAGGTACAATGTCCAGTGCTCCATTAAAAAAAAAGGCATGTGGGAATATAAAATAACAAAAATAGAAACCACTATAAAAATAAAAGAAAATCAAAGACTGACAGGACACTCAGACAACAGGTGTCATCATATACACCTTCAATAATTATGCTAAATATTTTCTTTTTTTTTTTTAATTTTTTTTTCAACGTTTATTTATTTTTGGGACAGAGAGAGACAGAGCATGAACGGGGGAGGGGCAGAGAGAGAGGGAGACACAGAATCGGAAACAGGCTCCAGGCTCTGAGCCATCAGCCCAGAGCCCGACGCGGGGCTCGAACTCACAGACTGCGAGATCGTGACCTGGCTGAAGTCGGACGCTTAACCGACTGCGCCACCCAGGCGCCCCATTATTTTCAAAGACACAAATAAGATTTCAGGAGAGAACTGTTGGCTATAAAGGTATAAAAATTTTGTAAAATCAAAATAAGACCCCAGTGGGTAATAAGAAGAGAAATTGATGAACTTGACGATAAATCCGAAGGAACCATCTATATTGAAGTATGAAAAGACAAGAGTGTAGAAAATACAGAAGAGACAGTAAAAGATATAGGGTCTAGAAAATAAAGTATGTTATTGGTAAAAAAAAGAGAAAAAATGGGCAAAAGCAATATTTGAAAAGATAACAGATGATAAATTTTATAAATAATGAAAGACTTCAAGCTATAAATTCCTGACCTTTGAAATTCAAAGACTAGAAAGAAAAGATCCAGGCATATCTTATAAAGATGACAAAGAAATCTTGATCAAAGAAAAGATGTGTGTGTGTATATATGTATATGTGTGTGTGTGTATGTGTGTGTATACATATATATACACACACACATATTCAAAAGAGCAACAATTAGATAGATAGCTGATTTCCTCAGAAATAAAGCAAGAAGACAGTAGGATTATACCCTCAAGATGCTAAAAGAAAAAGATAGCAGGTGTCATCAAGTTGCCACATTCACCCACAGAGGAACAAAGACGCTTGCTGTGTGTTGCAGTTTACCATAAACTCTGAGCTGCTGCACCACAGAGTACCATGACTGTTTCCTGAGACAAGCCAGCCCTGGCCACAGCACTGCCAGACCCTCCCCGAGAAGATCACTGTGGGTCCCAACGGCAGTGTCTCGTGAGTATGGGGTTTTGAAACACAGTGGGGCCTGGGACAAAACTCCGGAGAGAGGCGCCACGTGGTAGACAGACAGCTCAGACTCAGATGGGGAAAAGCAGGAAGCTAATGGAAGTGGGGGACATAGGAGGGATGACTGATCCCGAGTCTGAGAGGGCAAAAACTTCCTACTCGGAAGACTAGAGAGTGGCCTGAAGATGGCCCATTTTCACCATTAGGCCACCAACAGTGATTAACCCCAGTGAGGTAAACAGTGCCATCAAGTGGAGAACAGAGCCGTTACACCAAGCCCCACACCCTGGCGCCCTCTGGCACATCTCCACTAGGGGAAGTAGGCCTGAGAATCAGAACAGCAGGCTCTTCCCCTACGAGACCAGCACAAATCCCTCCCATGGGTTTAGCCTACTGAACCCAAACTGCTGCAGTTTTAAGGCCTAGGGGAAACTGGATTTAGCTTCATTTGGGGGTTTTTGTTTGTTCATTTGTTCGTTTTTCTGTTGTTGTTGCTTCTGTTTTGGTTTTTGCTGTTGTTGTTTATCTTTTGTTTTTTGGATACAGAAAGAGCAGAGTTTATTTATTTATTTTTTAATTTTTAGAAATTTTTAATATTTTTTTAAATTTTTTTCTCTCCTCTTTTTTCTATCAAACTTCTCTTAACAAGCAAATCAAAACACACATAGGATAGAGCTTCCTTTACTTGACTTTTTTAATTTTTAAATTTTTATTTCATTTTATTACTATTATTGTTTTTTCTTTCTCCAAAATGACAAGGCAGAGGTATTCACCTCATAAGAAAGAACAGGTAGAAATGATGGCCAGGTATTTAGTCAACGCAGATATAAGTAAGATGTCTGAACTAGTATTTAAAACAATGATTATAAGGGTACTAGCTGGGCTTGAAAAAAGCATAGAAGACAACAGAGAATCCCATTCTGCAGACACAGAACTAAAATCTAATCAGGCTGAAAGTAAAAATGCTATAACTGAGATGCAAACCCAAATGGAGGCCATAAAAATGAGGATGGACAAGGCAGAGGAGCAAAGTAGCGATATAGAAGATAAAATTATGGAAAATGAGTAGGCTGAAAATAAGAGGGAAATAAAGGTTAGAGATCATGAAGGCATACTTAGGGAACTCAGCAAATTATTATAACATAATAACATTCATAATATCACAGGAGTCCCAGAAGATGAAGAGTGAGAAAAGGGGGCAGAAGGTATATGTGAGCAAATTACAGCTAAAATTCCCCCAATCTGGGGAAGGACACAGACATCAAAATGCAAGAAGCACAGAGAACTCCCATTAAATTCAACAAAAGCTGTCCATCGCCAAGACATATCATAGTCAAATACACGAAATACACAGACAAGGAAAGCATCTTGAAAGCAGCAAGGGAGAAAAAAGCCCTTAACCTACAAGGGAAGACAGACCAGGTTCACAGCAGATCTGTCCACAAAAACTTGGCAGGCCAGAAACGAGTGGAAGGATATATTCAACATGCTGAATGGGAAAAATATGCCGATAATAATACTCTTATCCAGCAAGGCTACCATTCAAAATAGAAGTAAATATGAAGAGTTTCCCAGACAAACAAAAATTAAAGGAATTTGTGACCACTTAACCAACCCTACAAGAAATTTTAAAGGAGGCTCTTTGAATGGAGGAAAAAAAAAAAAAGACCAAAAGCAACAAAAGACTAGAAAGAACCAGAGAGCATCACCAGAAACATCAACTCTCCAGGTAACACAATGGCACTAAATTCATATCTTTCAAAAATCGCTCGGAATATAAATGGGCTAAATACGCCAATCAAAAGACATAGGGTATCAGAATGGATTTAAAAAAAAAACAAGACCCATCTATATGCTGCTTACAAGAGACTCATTTTAGACCTAGAGACACCGACAGATTGAAAGTAGAGGAATGGAAACCATCTATCATGCTAATGGCAATCAAAAGAAAGCCTGAGTAGCCATGCTTATATCAAACTAGATTTTATTTTTTTAATGTTTATTTCTTTTTGAGACAGAGACAGAGAGAGAGAGCATGTGCACATGTGCATGAGTCGGGAGAGGGGCAGAGAGAGAGGGAGACCCAGAATCTGAAATCTGAAGCAAGCTCCAGACTCTGAGCTGTCAGTACAAAGCCCAACACAGGGCTTGAACTCATAAGCCATGAGATCATGACCTGAGCCGAAGTTGGATGCTTAACTGACTGAGCCACCCTAGTGCCCCAGACAAACTAGATCTTAAAACAAAGATTGTAGAGGCCACTGGGTGGCTCAGTTGGTTGAACGTCTGACTTCGGCTCAGGTCATGATCTCGCAGTCCGTGAGTTTGGGCCCCTCATCGGGCTCTGTGCTGACAGCTCAGAGCCTGGAACCTGCTTTGAATTCTGGGTCTCCCTCTCTCTCTGCCCCTCCCCCACTCATGCTCACACGCGCTCGCGCTCTCTCTCTCTCTCTCTCTCTCTCTGTCAAAAATAAATAAGCATTAAAAATTTTTTTTAATAAATAAAAATAAATAAAACAAAGACTATAACAAGAGATGAAGAAGGGCATTATATTATAATTAAGGAAGCTATCCATGAAGAATATCTAACAACTGTAAAAATTTATGCCCCCAAATTGAAGCACACAGATATATAAATCAATTAATCACAAACATAAAGAAATAATTGATAATAATACCATAACAGTAGGGGACTTCAATACCTCACTTACAACAATGGACAGATCATATAAGCAGAAAATCAACAAGGAAATAATAGCTTTGAATGACACACTGGACCAGATGGATTTAACAGATATATTCAGAACATTTCATCCTAAAGCAGCATAATACAGATTCTTCTTGAGTGCACATGGAACATTCTCCAGAATAGATTATATACTGGGTTACAAATCTGCCCTCAACAAGTACAAAAAGACTGAGATCATACCATGCATATTTTCAGACCACAACACTATGAAACATGAAATCAACCACAAGAAAAAATTTGGAAAGACCAGGAACACTTGGAGATTAAAGAACATTCTACTAAAGAATGAACGGGTTAACCAAGAAATTAAAGAGGAAATTAAAAAGTACATGGAAGCCAAAGAAAGTGTAAACATGACAATCACAACCTCTGGGATGCAGCAAAAGTGGTCATAAGAGGGAAGTAGATAGTGAACCTGGCTTCCTAAAGAAGGAAGAAGTGTTTCAAATACAAAACCTAACCTTACACCTAAAGGCGCTGGAAAGGGGACAGCAACTAAAGCCCAAAACCAGCAGAAGAAGGGAAATAATAAAGACTTATAAATGAAGAGATCAATAATATTGAAATAAAAAAACACAACAGATCAATGAAACCAGGAGCTGGTTCTTTGAAAAAATTAACACAATTGATAAACCTTTAGCCAGATTTATCAAAAAGGAAAAGGAAAGGACAAATAAATAAATAAATAACAAATTAAAGAGGATAGATCACAACCAACACCACAGAAATACAAATAATAAGAGAATATTACAAGCAATTATATGCTAACAAATTGGGCAAGCTGGAATAAATGGACAAATTTCTAGAAACACATAAACTACCAAAACTGAAACAAAAGAAACAGAAAATTTGAGGGGCGCCTGGGTGGCTCAGTCGGTTAAGCGTCTGACTTCAGCTCAGGTCACGATCTCGCGGTCTGTGAGTTTGAGCCCCGCGTCAAGCTCTGGGCTGATGGCCCAGAGCCTGGAGCCTGCTTCCGATTCTGTGTCTCCCTCTCTCTCTGCCCCTCCCCGTTCATGCTCTGTCTCTCTCTGTCTCAAAAATAAATAAACGTTAAAAAAAATTTTTTTTAAAGAAATAGAAAATTTAAACAGACCCATAACCATTATGGAAATTGAATCAGAAATCAAAAATTTCCCAACAAACTAGAGTCTAAGGCTTGATGGCTTTCCAGGGGAATTTTGCCAAATATTTAAAGAAGAGGTAACACCTATTCTTTTGAAGCTGTTCCAAAAAAAAAAAAAATAGAAATGGAAGGAAAACTTTCAAACTCATTCTACAACACCAGCATTACCTTGATTTCAAAACCAAAGAGCTCTGATGAACATGGATGCAAAAATTCTCAACAAGATACTAAGCAAACCAGATCCAACAATACATTAAAAGAATTATTCACTATGACCAAGTGGGACTTATTCCTGGGATGCAGGGCTGGTTCAATATCCACAAATCAATCAATGTGATACAGCACATTAATAAAGATAAGAACCACATGACCCTCTCAATAGATGCAGAAACAGCATTTGAAAAAATACAGCATCGTTTTTTGATAAAAATCATCAAGAAAGTGGGGATAGAAGGATCATACCTCAAGATCATAAAGGCCATATTCAAAAGACCCACCACTAATATCACCCTCAATGGGGAAAAACTTAGGGCTTTCCCTCTAAGGTCAGGAAGATGACAGGGATGTCCATTCTCACCACTGTTATTCAACATAGTGTTGGGAGTCCCAGCCTCAGCAATCAGACAACAAAAAGAAATAAAAGGCATTCAAACTGGCAAGGGAGAAGTCAAACTTTCACTCTTCACAGATGATATGATATTCTACATGGAAAACCCAAAAGATTCCACCAAAAAACTGCTAGAACTGATACATGAATTCAGCAAAACCGCAGGATATAAAATCAATGTAGAGAAATCTGTGGCATTTCTGTACACCAATAATGACGCAGCAGAAAAAGATATCAAGGAATCAATCTCATTTATAATTGCACCAAAACCCATAAAATACCTAGGAATAAACTTAACCAAAGAGGTAAAAAATCTATATGCTGAAAACTATAGAAAACTTATGAAAGGAACTGAAGAAGACACAAAGAAATGGAAAAACATTCCATGCTCATGGATTGGAAGAACAAATATTGTTAAAATGTCGATACTATCCAAAGCAAACTACATAGTCAATGCAATCCCAATCAAATAATACCAGCATTCTTCACAGAGCTAGGACAAACAATTCTAAAATTTGTATGGAACAGAAATGATTCCAAATAGCCAAAGTAATGTTAAAAAAGAAAACCAAAGCTCAGGGCCTTACAGTTCCAGTCTTCAAGCTGTATTACAAAGCTATAATCATCAAGACAGTATGTATGAGCACAAAACAGACACACAGATCAATGGAATAGGATAGACAACCCAGAAATTGACCCACAAATGTATGGCCAACTAATCTTTGACAAAGCAGGAAAGAATAGCCAATGGGAAAAAAGGACAGTCTCTTCAGGAAATGGTGTTGGAAAAACTGGACAGCGACATGCAAAAGAATGAACCTCGACCACTTTCTTATACACAAAAATAAACTCAAATAGATGAAAGACCTAAATGTCAGACAGGAAACCATCAAAATCCTAGAGGACAAAACTGGCAACAACCTCTTTGATCTTGGCTACAGCAACTTTTTACTAGAAATGTCTCTCAAAGCAAAGGAGGCAAAAGCAAAAATGACTATTGGGACCTCATCAAGATAAAAAGCTTCTGCACAGTGAAAGAAATGATCAACAAAACTAAAAAGCAACCGACAGAATGGAAGAAGATATTTGCAAATGACATATCAGATAAAGGGTTAGTATCCACAATCTATAAATAACTTATCAAACTCAACACCCAAACAACAAATAATCCAGTGAAGAAATGGGCAAAAGACATGAACAGACACTTTTCAAAAGAAGACATCCAGATTGCTAACAGACACATGAAAGGATACTCAACATAACTCATCATCAGGGAAATACAGATCAAAACCACAACTTCACACCTGTCAGAATGGCTAAAATTAACAATTCAGGAAGCAACAGACATTGGTGAGGATGCAGAGAAAGGGGAACTCCTGCACTCCTGGTGCAAAGTGGCACAGCCACTCCAGAAAACTGTAGGCAGGTTCCTCAAAAATTAAAAATAGAACTACCCTATGACCCAGAAATTGTACTACTAGGTATTTATCCAAAGGATACAAAAATGCTGATTTGAAGGGGCACATGCATCCCAACGTGTATAGCAGCACTATCAACAATAGCCAAAGTATGGAAAGAGCCCAGATGTTCACTGACTGGATTAAGAAACTGTGGTATATACAGACAATGGAATATTACTCAGCAACGAAAAAGAATGAAATCTTGCCATTTGGAACAACATGGATGGAACTAGAGTGTATTACACTAACTGAAGTAAGTCAGAGAAAAATATCATATGATATTACTCATATGTGGAATTTAAGAAACAAAACAGATGAACACGGGAAAGGAAGGAAAAATAAGATAAAAACAGAGAGGGAGACAAACCATATGAGACTCTTAAATACAGAGAACAAACAGAGGGTTACTGGAGGGTTGTTGGGTGGGGAGATGGGCTCAATGGACAATGGACATTAAGGAAGGCACTTGTTGGGATGAGTACTGGGTGCTATGTGTCAGTGATGAATCACTAAATTCTACTCCTGAAATCATGATTACACTATATGTTAACTAACTTGGATTTAAATTAAATTTAAAAATAAAAAAAAAAACACCCAATTAAAAACTTGTCCAAAGACCTTAATAGAGACCTCACCAAAGAAGATCTATGGATGGCAAATAAGTATACAAAAAGATTTTCCACATCATATGTCATCAGGAGAGTTCGAATGAAAACAATAATGCAATGTCACTACATCCCTATTAGACTAACCAAAATCTATAACAGAGACAACACCAAATGCTGATGAGCATGTAGAGCAAGAGGAACTCTCACTTGTCGCTGGCGGGAATGCAAAATGGTGCAGCCACTGTGGAAGACGTTAGGTATTTCCTTACAAAATTAAATATACTCTTACCATACAATCCAGCAATTGTACTCCTTGATATTTACCTAAAGGAGCACAGAACTCCTATCCACACAAACACCTACACAGAGATGTTTATCGTAGTTCTGTTCACAATTGCCAAAACTTGGCCAAGATGTCCTTCAGTAGGCGAATGGATAAATAAACTATGGTCCATCTAGACAAAGACAATTATCCAGTACTATAAATGAAGAAGCTCTCAAGCCATGGAAAGGCATGAGGAACCTTAAAAGCATATTACTAAGGGAAAGACACTAATCTGAAAAGGATACACAGCTCCAACTATATGACATTCTGGAAAAGGCAAAACTATGGAAACAATATAGATATCAGTGCTTGCCAGATGTTTGCTGGTGGGGGTGGGTGGATGGGGCGGAGTGGGGGTGGATAAATCACCTAAAAAGGTGATTACAAGGTGGGGCGCCGGGTGGCTCAGTGAGTAAAGTGTCCAAGTTCAGCTCCGGTCACGATCTCACTGCTTATGAGTTTGATCCCTGCATTGGGCTCTGTGTTGACAGCTCAGAGCCTGGGGCCTGCATCCAATTCCATCTGTCTGTCTGTCTCTCTTTCTCTCTCTCAAAAATAAATAAACATTTAAAAAAATTTTAAAGGTGATTACAGGGAAAGAACAATCAGGTGGAGTTGGCATCTCAAGCTTCAAATTAAACACAAGAATAAAGCTAAACCCATTTTGGAGCTGCTCTGTTTGCTTGCCTTTTTTTCCATTTTTGGTACCACGATGACCTATGCAAAGAGAAATCTATAAATGCACATGAAACGGAATTGTTCCAGATGTAAAAAGCCTGTTGAGGAAAATAAACCATCGTGTAGGCCAAAGGGCTACGGAATCCATGTTACCGGAGGTGATAATAAAAGCAAGCTGATAGTCTGACAGGTGAGCTGTGAAATTATCATGACTATATTGAGGCTATTATCGCATTTTAAAAAAATAGACATTCTGCTGAAATGAAGCCTGAGAACTCCATCTAATGAGGTGAAAACAGGTAGCTATCTTCAGAAGCACCCAGTGTTTGGGTCCTTTGTTCCAAAAGTGCTATTAATATCACAGAATACCACAATTCTCTTATTTATACAGAAAATCAATACTTCTCTTTCCTTTGCTCCAGAAGAAAATGCTCACAGATGTTTACCAAACGTTCCTACTCGCAGGAGGAAGAAAGTGGACAAGGGAAGTGAGGAGTGAAAGGCCATGGACTGAGGTTCCGAAACGTCTGGGTCATTTGTTCTGAAACAGCTCTGCTTCTCACTCACTGTGAAACCTTGAACAAGTCATTTAATCTCCCGGGGCCTCAAAATAAGGGGTCAGCGAAGATGATATCTATGATCCCCTCTAGCTTGAACATTTCCTGGTTCTAATCTGAATCAAAAGGCTGAGGTCTGCAAAGGTCGATGAACAATACTTTCCACACATACAGAAACTCACTAATTCTGTGTTTTGCAGACCTGAGGGAAGCCTCAGCCCCTCTTTCCCTCTCAGTATACCTCTCCCTTGGTCTGGGTCCCTACACACCCCCTGCCCAGAGACCCCCACCCAGACCCCAGCTGGAGACATTACAAAGAGTTGGCTCCTAGAAATAATCACGTTCAGATTGGTATCCCCTCCACAGTACCCCAAAATAATGTTTAATCCATAATTCGCTTTTAATAAATGTTGCCGATATGAATTTGTTGGATGAATGACAATATTTACTTCATATTTCAGAGTATACAAAGTGTTTACACATCTCATTCTATTCTTACAGGAGCCCTCTGAAATTGCTTATTAACACACCTATTTAATAGGTGAGGAAGCTGAGACTCAGAGATGTACAAAGTTGCCGAGCGGGGACTTGAACCCAGATCTCTTAACATCAGATCCTCCTTTACTCCCGCATCTATCCATCATGTTGTATCCTTGTAACTTACTACATGGAGCCTTAAATTGACTCACCTGATTCAGGTTCACACCTGGCTTTCCCTGTTCCATTTCTAGGGAAATCAGCACAAGGAGAGAGTTTCATGGAAGCCTAGCCCTCACCACCTCCCCCAATGCTCTCCCACATCATACTTCTGCCTAGAACTCAATCTTGCCAAAAAAAAATGGGAACTTTTCCTTGGAGCCCAGTCAAAGGTATTTTTAAAGACTTTATTTTTTTTTTAATTTATTGATTTATTTTGAGAGAGAGAGAGAGAGAGAGAGAGAGAGAGCAGGAGAAGGGCAGAGAGATAGGGAGAGAGAATCAATCCCAAGCCACCCAGGAGCCCCTTAGTCAAGGGTATTGAAAAAAGGGAGGTCATTGTTTCTTTAGGGAAGGTACAGACTGAGAGTTTGGCTGTTCTAATGGAACCTTTACTGCACATGCTGACAAATAAGGAGGCATGAGTACTTCCTGCATAGAAGACGCAGGCCATAGAGACAGCACCTGCCCAGGTTTTTCTCAGAACCTGTTAGCAAGAACACCTGGGGCAGCGACTCTGCTGGGCTTTTCCCACCAACGCTTAAGTGTGAAGGAAGAAGTCAGACGCCAGCAGCCAGAGGAAAGATGCCTTTGCATGTGTCCAAAACATGCAGGCGGACATGTTGGTATTCAGAGCATCTGTCTTGCACAGACTCACCAAGAAGCCCCTGAGAGAAACCGTCGGTTTTAATCACCTACCAGGCCCAGAAAATACCAGAATCCATTCACAACAGTCCAAATCAAGGAAGACTTCTCCTTCCTCCCCTTCCTCTTTATGTCCCCTCTCCCCACCTGGGAAAGGGCAGGAGGGCAGAAACCATGGGTTGTTGAGCCAGAAAAGGACAAGACTGATGCGTGGGGGGAAGAAAAATCCTAAGGAAGTTGCATGTCTCTTCCCCCCCTCCCTCCCAGCATGCAGCCCACTGGAACTACAGGAGGGGAGAAGACCCACATTAAATAAACCGTGGATTTTTCCATAGCACTGCACATTTAAATACTGAGATGAGACTTGAGGGAGGGCCAGAAGTGAATGAGTGACACTTGCAACCACCTAAAAGAAAATAACCAGAAATGCCAGGGGGCCTTCAAGATTTCAAAGGCTGAATAATTAACATCACAGAATGGATTTGAATGGATGGTAGGCAAAAATAATAAATTGTTTTGTTTTGTTTTGTTTTACCCTAAGAGTTCTGTTTGCTTACACACAAACGTGTACTAGATCCAAGATTATGTTGTTCTTGGAGCCACAGCATTCATGAGAGATTTTGGATATACAGGTCACCTGCCCTTTTGTCACCAATCCTATGACCCTGGCAAATGCTCAATACGTTGAATGAATGAGTGAGTGAATGAATGAGTGAATGAATGAATGAATAAATGAGACTGCAGGTGAGCACCTAACTATGATCATCTATCAATGTATGGGGCTACTTAATGAGGCCTGGCGGTAAGCGCTTTGTAAGAATTTTGGTGTTAGATTCTCTCTCTTGGGGGATTCTAGGAAAGGCAGAAACCAGCTCAGCAAGAAAGAAGGCATCAAAACAGAAGCTACCAGGCATCAAAAGGGATGAACAGCAAAAGCCAGGAGTAGAAAGCAATTATCGAAGGTGATAAAGAGTATAGTCTGTCACCGTAATGGGGAACCACTAGAATAGTGACCAAGAACCAACCAATTCTGGGGCACCTAGAGTTGCTCTCACATCCTGGAGTTACTGAGGGGTCCACCAGGTCGCTGGGGAGTTTTGTAGGCAACCCTCAAGTCAGTCCTGTGCTGGCTCTCTAACTCACTGAGTTTACTCCCAGTCAGGGAACCCTCCTGGCAAATGCGGGAGGACCCTCCAATCAGAAGGCAAGCGAGGAAACCCAAGTCTCTGGATGCATTCATTCTCTCAGCACTGCCCGTGCAGTTTCCATGAAGGCTAGGAACGAGTGGGGTCCTGACTGCCTTGTTTCTCTATGACTCCTCAGAGGCCTGGAGCCCAAAGAGTCCTGAGAGTGACTCTGATTAATGATTGCAAAATACACCACACAGTTATTAGTATCAAACTGGTTGACTCATTGTTCCCTACGTACCTGATGTGTATTCCTGTCCCAGAACTTTGACTCATTTCCTCCTACCAGCCCAAAAGTTCCTCCCATATCTTGTAAACAACCCCAAAACCAACTTACTACCCAAGGCCCCGCTGAAGCTCCAACCTCCTGCATGAGGCCTCTGCTGACCATGTCAGTGGACACCGGTCAGGGATGTTCTCCCCTTCATTTTGTCTTTTAAAATGACAGTACGTGAGGGGCGCCTGGGTGGCTCAGTCGGTTAAGCGTCCCACTTCGACTCAGGTCATGATCTCACAGTCGGTGAGTTCAAGCCCCGCGTCGGGCTCTGTGCTGATGGCTCAGAGCCTGGAGCCTGCTTCAGATTCTGTGTCTCCCTCTCTCTCTCTCTGCCTCTCCCCCACTCATGCTCTGCCTCTCTCTCTCTCTCTCAAAAATAAACAAACATTTAAATAAACAAACAAACAAATAAATAAAAACACAAAATGACAGTACACGAAAGCAGGCCCAAACAAGAGTCCAAAGATATTTGGGGAATGGAGCAGGTGGTTTTTGTGTAGCTCTCGACTCACCGTCAGGAAGCCCCTGGAAGGGTGGGAGCACCTCACACCCAGGGGGCTTCCTCTGGGAGATCGAGAGATATCCCACCAGGGAGACAGGAAAGGAACCTGCCTTCTGTATCACTTTGCTGCTAACTAGAACGCACTCCCTTCATTAATAAAGAGGGTATTGGGTCGGCCTCTAGACGGCAAGTGGGGAGTAAAAGATTTCTAGATGGGAAGAACTCTTGCGAAGTACCAGGCACCGTGCTAGAGGCTTTATGTATTTCACTTATTCTTCGAAATGACCCGATGAGGACAGCAGAATTGCCCCCATTTTATTTTTTTTTTTTAAGTTTTTTTTTTTTTTTTTTAAGTTTTTTTTTCAACGTTTATTTTATTTTTGGGACAGAGAGAGACAGAGCATGAACGGGGGAGGGGCAGAGAGAGAGGGAGACACAGAATCGGAAACAGGCTCCAGGCTCTGAGCCATCAGCCCAGAGCCCGACGCGGGGCTCGAACTCACGGACCGCGAGATCGTGACCTGGCTGAAGTCGGGCGCTTAACCGACTGCGCCACCCAGGCGCCCCGCCCCCATTTTATAAGTAAGGACACTGAGATTTGGGAAGGTTAGGTATCTCACTCAGAGTCTCCATTAAAAACAAATTTTTTAAAAGCTTGATTACGATGCCTGTGTCTCCCACCACTGTAAGGGGATACACGACGGCATCGTGGCTGAGCAAGCAGTTCTGTAGTCAGGCTGCCTGATTCACGTCCCAGCTTTACTACCGCCTGATGTGGAACCGTGGACAAGTCACTTAAACACTATGTGCCTCAGTCCCTTCCTTTCTGGAAGGAGGGCAATAACAATGCCGACCCCACAGGGACATCCAGGGACATCGTGAGAAGTGATGCATGCAAAGCACTTAGAAGATCTCCTGAGGTAGAAGTACCCGCTAATATGTCTGCATTGTTATTACACTGACATATCCTAACAAATGATTCAGAGATCCCTTTGAGAGGAAAAACAATTCTATCTGACCACCAAAGGAGGGGATCAAACTTTAATAGGAAATAAATAAATAAATAAATAAATAAAATTATGTATGTGTATGTGTATGCGTATGTGTGTGTATATGTATATATATATATATGTAAACTCTACCTTATTGCTCTTACGCAGCTATATAAGCAGCATAAGGCTACAGTTTGCAGAAGTTGAGACAAATAGAACTACAAAAGTAACAACACTGAAATGAACAAATACTAATTTAACGTGCTGATGG